AATTCCTGTTACAGGGAAATGTCCTTGGCCAGAATGGAATGACCCAACAGAACAATCCAATGGGACTCCAACAAGGCAATTCATTGTTTGGAAACAATTCAACGAACGCGATGGGTGGTAATTCACTGTTTGGCAATACAAATACTAATACAACACTGGGACAACAAAATAACATCTTCGCACAACAACAAGGAAACTCGTTGTTTGGGAATAACACAAACAACATGTCCGGTCTCCAAAATACGGGGCTGATGGGACAAAACAACTCGTTGTTTGGAAATACTAATATGACAAATAACAACACTTTGATGGGCCAAAACCCCCCACAAATCATTAACGCAGATGTCGTCTTGAAGAACTTCTTACTCGCAAAAGCACGAGAGGACTATTCAAAGCAAGAACTCAGTTATAAGGAAATGGACTTTGACGAGAGAATATTGAAAAGAAAAGATGAGGTGTTCAGGAAGGCGTGCGTGTTGAAAAGGATCGAAGAGAGCGCTAGACCACAACTGGAAGAAACCGTGTCGTCTACTCAAAATCAACTTGTGGTGATCAGAGACGCTAAAGAGGCTGAAAAGAGCGAGAGGGGAATAACTACACACATCATCACAGAAGCAAACAGCAAAATAGACCCAATAGTACAGACGTTTGAAAAGGAGTTTAATCGCATTAAAGATAGAATCGAGGAGATGAAGACAACGTGTAAACCAATATCCTATGTCGTCACACGAGAAGACGCAATTGAAAGTTGTTTTAAAACACAGGGAGATATCGAAAATGTAAAAAGAAAAATCTTTGCTGTTGATAATGAAGTCGAATCAATGGGAGATAAAATCGATAAAACTCAGAAGAGTCGGTGGAAACATATCGATTTCTTAAACTAATGAAATGATTTTTTGATTTTTGAAAGAAATTGATGGATTTTTAGTGGTGTGGTTTTTTCTTCGTTGTGAAGGTTGGGATTTATAAATAAAAACAAAATTTATAATTTTACTATTAAAATATTATATTGTTTAGTTTGAAAATATTTTAAATAGAACAGTTCAATGAAGTTTTATTTTAAAAAAAATCGAAATCAATGAAGAGTAGAAAGACAACGAGTTTATATACATTGTCATCAAGTCAGGGTATATAAACTAATTTGAATTTAATAATACAAAAATGTTGTTCTTTGCTTTGTTTGTTGTTCTAAGTGTTGGACAGCCAAGAGACTTAACATTGAAAGAGTGTCCATATACTTCGAAAAGTCCAGACATAAATGTTAACAATATATTTGTGTATGACGATAAAGACAAGAAGTCTGTGTCATTTACACTTGTTATCACTTCAAACAAGGAACTGACAAAGGCTGGTCTTTCTTTTTCTGCAGATTCTTTTATCATGCAACAGTACACTGGACACATCGATATTCAAACAGTTGATTTGATTTTTGCAATTGGGAAGGAAGGTAAAATCGAAAAGGGAGTGCACACTCTTAAAATAGAAGTTCCTTACTCACAACTAAGCACTGTGGCAAGTTATGTGCTCACTTTTGATATTTCATATGGAGATGAGCAATTGAGATCGTGTGTGAATGTCGACTACAGAGCATCACCTTCATCAAATTAAGTCAACACTTTTGGTATGTTATATTTTGATATGTAACAAATAATACAAACTATAAATAGTTAATACTTCAATTATGTAAATAACAATGGAACAAGTTGTAATGTTAAGTGACCACAAAACATAATTTGTCAGAACACAATTCTGAGAAGTTGTGACACGAGGAGAGTTATTT